TTCCTTCAGTATGTGAAAAAATAAAACTAACAATATATGACTGGTGAGTTGAAAATAAACGCGTTTCATTCAACATTAAAGAATTAAACATTTGGATATTGACGAACATTATTCTAGACGGTCTAACTCTTACTTTTTGGCATGTTTGATTTTCTTCCAGAGGGAAAGGATAAATTGCTCCTGGAACTGGGTATTCTCAAAAAAAAAAAAAAAAAGTTTAATGGTAGTATTGTTTCAGAAAAGCTTTGGGTATCTTGGTTCAACTGCTCATAAATAAAAGAAGGGAAAAATGACTTGAAAATGCCTTGAGATAAATCAAGGATTTAGACTGTCCAACATAGACTTCCCAGAGTCACCAAAAATTATGAGAGAAATTCTTTTTTACTGTTAGAAAGGATAATGGATAAAGCAACCTAACTGAAGGCAAAGAAAATCTGTCGAAATGTTCAGATAGAATTTTTATGAGACCAGTCTCCTAGCACTAATTGGCTATAACGAGACCATTCTCAGAATGTTCTAGGTGGATGGAGCATTCAGCTGGCAGCTCTTAGCTTTCTAAGAGTGGAAACGTGGCAAATACCATCATCATCTTCAGTGTCATTATCATTATCATCAGTGTTTATTATATTAACTATCATTTTTTTAAGCATTACCAAGTTCCTGGCACTGTGCCAAGTACCTTACCTACATTACCCATTTAGTATGTAGAATTACCCTATGGGATAGAGACTACTATTAGTTTCATTTTATAGATGAAGACACTGAGGGTCAGAGAGGTTGGGTAACTTGCCTATAGTCACTTGAACAGTTAGAAGCCCAGTTGGGCTCCCACCCTCTCTGGCTGTTTCCATAGTTTCTCCCTTGGCCAAATGTATTTGACTTTCACATTAGCACCCTTTGGTACCATGGCAACAAGTCATATTGGGAAGAGGGGAGTGGGTCTCATTTTGTTCAGTGACCACATCACAATTAGTTGAGGGCCATGGTTGGGCCCTGAGAACAAAATGCCACCTTCCAATGAGTGTAAGATAGCTTTAAGGCACTTGGGACCCTCAGGCCACATATTAAAGGAGCCTCAGAAACCCTTAAGAGTGTGGGTTTGGACCCTACATAGCTCAGGTGACCTGTGGGCTTTGGAGTGGGCTGACCACTGATTGAGCTGTCCGAGTTACTTGTGATCACTATCAATGTGTTGTTTTTTTTCTAACCTAGTCTACCCCTTGCAAGGCAATAATATAGATTAAGATACACAGAGAGACCCTAATTTACTGGGCAATCTTTGGAGCCACATTTTAGGTTACATACCCTGTAGGGTATCTGCACTACTGAGGGAAGCTAAGGATTCTTTAAATGTAGCCAAGACCGACTTGGATGGACAAAAAAGATTCAAGCCCTATGCTTGTGATTTAATACCCCCAAATAATAACTTTTTATCATGCAGATTGTGTTTAATTAGTCACTTTCTATAACCTAATATACCATGCTATAATTCTTCCACCAAATAAGGGAGCTTTGCTCCCTCCCATGAGGCCATGAACTTCAGAGTGAATATGTTGCTAGATGGAATAAAGAAGAGAAATGAAGCAGAAAGAATGTTAATAATCTGTACCCAGCCTTAGACCATTTCATGAGTTAGACTCATAGTCTCTCTAAGATAACCACAGAAGGCTGCACAAAGCTGTATACACTTGTCGGGGTTGTGGGCAAATTCATCCTCACATCACAGGTAAGATTTAGGTTCTAAGTAAGCATCTACACTCAGAGAAATAGCATCTATCACATAGTAGGTGCTCAATAAATGTTTGAATTGAATTAGAGGGGATTTTTCTCTCTGTTAAGCCATCATAATAACTAGTATGAACATGGTCAAATAAGTTATATACACCTACTTTGTGTAGTGAGATTACATCATAATCATCATGTAATATGCCTATGACTGATTCATTCATTTCATGACAATGGTATTGAGTATGGTCATAGAAAATCCCTTGACTTCTCTGTAAAATCTCAATTTTATAATTGCAGAATGAGTTGCCAGATTAGATTAGTGTTTATAAAGGGCAGTTGGAGGACCATCTGCATCAGACTCAATTGAGATATATTTGTCATAAATGCAGATTCTTGGTCCCCACCCTAGGCTTATTGAATCAAAAGCATGGTCAGAAGATGAGGGTTGGGAGTTTCCAGGAGATTCCAAAGTACAATAAAGTGTGAGGCTCAATGGACAAAATGATTTCCGAGGTCTAGAGTATTTTCCAGCTCTATCTTTTTATTGTTGAAATGAAGACATATCTTCATAGGTGGAGACCTTAACCTGTTCTTTTGCCCAGGGACCGGCTTACCAAAAATGACGTAGTTGGGACAACGTATCTACACCTCTCTAAGATTGCTGCCTCTGGTGGGGAAGTGGAAGGTAAGTCACTCAGCAGATCTGGATTCAGAACTTCTGGAGAAAGAATGAGCTGGGGCAGCTGCCGGGAAAAAGACTTGGTTTCTGAAAAGCCAAATGTGATAAGCCTGGTGAGCGATTTCAGTGATGTTTTGGTGATGGCCAGCAAAACAATTAATAATTGAAGCAACTAATAGTTTGAAGATTTTAGCTTTCTTACTCTTGTTCGAAACCTTTTTCCCAGTAGCTGTTTTATAAATTTTAACAGAGCGCCAGCTCCTTATTTTTTAGAGTGGCATTGACACAAGCCCACCCAAATATAAAATAATATTCCCTTCTCAGCTGATTCCCTTGGCAGGACCAAGGAGGTCAGATGCCAACAAACCATGTAATCTCCACTCCCTACAATAAGATAGAGATTAGAAGTAGAAGGAGGAAGGGGAATGAGGGGTTCAGATACAGTGACTATAGATTAAGGGAACCAATAGAGGAACTTAAAATCATGCTATAACTGTGTGTGGGAAGGGCAAAAACTATTTAAATCCACTTATTATTAGTAGGAGGTCATTAAGTAATATCTAAAAATAATTATTCAAGAAATATTAGTATAAGCATTTTACTTAGTGGTAAGGTGGTAACAATCCAGAAGGACTAAAACCAGCGATTACTACAAGCAGTTTCAGCCCCTGTCTCTGAGACCTTCTCTCATTGCAGGCCCTGCAGGCCGTCTGTTATAGGGTCTTAAAATAACAACGAACTGTCATCCCACAGCCGTGCTTTGAATCAAATAATGTACATGTACAAACTACAGGCCTTTGCTTACACAGCCTCAGACTAAATTAACTTGGATTTTCTGGCCTTGGTCCCAGCTTCTTCTCTCATTGCAGGCCCTGCAGGCCATCTGTTACAGGGTCTTAAAATAACAATGAACTGTCATGCCACAACCATGCTTTGAATCAAATAATGTACATGTACAAACTATAGGCCTTTGCTTACACAGCCTCAGACTAAATTAACTTGGATTTTCTGGCCTTGGTCCCAGCTAAGTGAGCCATAAGACAAGTAAATGTTTTATATTAAAAACATGAAGTGTTGATAACTCCACCAGGCCTCCTTTGGCCATGGGAAGCTAGCTCTTGTGAGATGCCTGACTGCCTTGGGGCCGGCAAGGTTTGGTTATTCATGTGTGGCAGTTCTGCCAGTTGTCACAAAGTTTTGAGCCATTTTGCATTTAACTGGTGAATTTAACGTGTAAATTATGAAAGAATCATGTGATTTGGGTCTGAATTTGGGATTTTTCTGGTGTTGCGAAAGTACTTACCAAGCACTGGGTTTGATTAACTTTTTCAGTGTCTATTTTGTAATGTCGTGTTTCTGTTGTTGTTTAACCAATCATATTTTTTACTATGTAGATTTTTCATCTTCGGGAACTGGGGCTGCATCATATACAGGTTTATGCTTTGTAATTTTGCTGTCTATTAGATCTTGCTACAAACTAGTATCTTACTAAGAATATATTAATTGATTGCTTTTAGAACCTTCTTTTTTGATATTTTGCTGTCACAAAAATAGTTTTGCTAGAATCGTAATCTTTGTGTTGAGTGTTATATGGTTGTCCTGCATGGCTAAGCTTAAAACAAATATGCTAACCAAGCTTTACTACAGGTCTTGTGTTTTCACCTAGGTGCACACCATCCTATTTGGCTTCATTGCAAATAACTGTTTGTGAGATATAATTTTCTTGTTATTGTTGTTTATATTCAGTAGATGGAAATATGGGGCACTAAATTAACTGTTCTGAAATGTATGAAGTAACTTTTCCCCACTTTCAATGTGGATCTCTAGGTTGAAAGATACTGAGCGTTTTCTGCTTTGTACCCTGAAGGTCTTCACCTCCCAAATATGAGGGATCATAACCTGTCCTTTGGCTTGCACAGCACTTGCCATTTTTTGCAAGTTTTCTCAATACTTTCATATGCTTCACCCTGAAGGTCTTCACCTCCCAAATATGAGGGATCATAACCGGTCCTTTGGCTTGCACAGCACTTGCCATTTTTTGCAAGTTTTCTCAATACTTTCATATGCTTGACTGTCACAACTTTCCTAGGGCAGATGTTATAGTTCCCCTAACAGATAAGGACTCTAAGAGCTGTTTTTTTATCTCTCAAATAAGCATGATTATCCCTGCCATGCAAATCTCCCAGGGTTGGGGTGAAGGGGAGGAGAGATATTGCACATGGGAAATTTTTGCAGACTCTGAAGCTCTTTACAAGTATAAGATTGTATCATCTGCATTTATGTAATTGACACAATGCCCAATTCTTATTTGTTTTAAAAAATCAATCTCATTACCTTATAATCAGGCTTTTTATGAATATTAAGCAATCCTTAGGTTTGCAGTGGACTTGGCAGATTTGGAAACACTTTATTCCTTCATTCATTTGTTCAACCAATCAATGAATATTTATGTAGTAGTATTCCATGATAGAACCGATAGTAGGTTTTTAGAGAATCAAAATAAAACATGTTTAAATCCTGCCACCTCCACCTTCCCAAAAGGAGCTTATACTCTAATCACAGAGATAAGCAGCTATTTAAGGTTCTGAAAACTAAAATATAAAGTAATAATATATAGAAATCCAAAGTGCCAAGGGGATTTAGAGAGGTGATGGAGGCACAGAAAATATTGTTTGGAAAGTGAGTTGTAGCTAGGGCAGAGGAAATCCTTGATGGCCAGGCTAAAGAATTTTTATTTTACTTTGTATAGGCTCTTCAGGAAGGACATTGGGAAGTTTGATGTGACAGCTGTGCATAAAATGATTTAGGAAAGTTTGGAGGCAGGAAGAGACTTAGCTTGTGAGTGAATAGGTTTCCCAGGAGACCGTGTTGAGACATGAGCACATAGAAGAAGGAATGTTCTTCATGTTAACGCACAACCAAACAAGCCAAAGAGCTTAAAATACCGGAAAAGAGATTTGGTTGGACAAAAAAATTAAGTCTTTGCTATCAGGGTGACGTGTGGGGGTCATTATTGACCATTTGAGTCTCCATCCCTGGAAATCTTTAACAAAAGGCATATACTCGTGACAGACAACACCAATAATCACCCATGGAAGCCAGGTGGGTGTGAGCTGGGGCTAGACCAGAGGAGTGGACGGTGTAATAGATGGTGCCCTTGCCTACACTTTGAAACTCAAGATGTGGGCCTAAATTTGCCAACTTGTGGGACCTTTGACAAATCACATCACTTCTGTGGGCTTCAGTTTGCCCATCTGTAATGTGACACAACCAGAATGCAATCACTTTAATATCTGTTCTTACTTGAACATTCTGTGATTCAACTTCTAGAAGTGACTTCCTTCCCTCTCTATGAATCTGTAATGTGACACAACCAGGATGCAATCACTTTAATATCTGTTCTTACTTGAATATTCTGTGATTCAACTTCTAGAATTGACTTCCTTCCCTCTCCATGAATCTCTGCTTTAATCTTCTATTCCCACCTAACATTCCCCCCACACCAGAATATTCTAACACAAGGAAGGAAATCTAAACCCTGCTTATTAATGATCAATTAGTCAACTTTGCAGTGCTCTCTATGGCAGAGTAGATGAAGCCAAACCAATTAATATGTTCAGATATGATCGTCATTCATTTAATCATGCTCGTTTGTCATGGAGAGGATAAGATGACTCAGAGAGATCTCTGTTGGAAAAGCTGTTGGTCTCTATTTGGGTTTCACAAGAGATTTCCAAACAGGTGCGAAGTGTGGTATCCCAGGATGTTGCCCTGTCTCACCTTCAGGCTGTCGCGTATTACTTTTCTACATCTTAATTTTCTAAATCTTAATTTAAATGTTTCTTCTCTCTTGCTCTCTTCGTTGAGATTGCTGGTCAGCTAATTTCTGTGTGCGTGATTTCTGCCTCCCCACAAAGTGTGCATACACATTTAAACATGCAGAGAGCCTCACATAATGAAAATGATTGTGAAGGACATGTCTATACAGTTAGGTCAATTGTTTATTAGTGGACTCTTTGCCTACCACCTACTCCACCTTTATCTTTCTCCCTTACTTCCAAGTGTAGGGGTGGAAAGGAACATACAAGTGACCTGCTCAACCTCACATCCACAGCAGGCATTATCTTGACAACAACCTGAAAGACAGGCTGAAGACTTTGCCTCAACATTTCTTCTGATTGTCGCATTGTTTGTCGTCTCTAATTCACAGAAAGTTCTTCCTTACAGAGTGAACCAAAAGTAGACTCCTTGTAGCTCCCAGCAATGGTCCTAACTCTGCTTTTGGAGATAAGTTCATTCCTCTTCCATATGGAGGCCATTTAGACTACTGAAAGTAGCGTTTGCATTTCCCACCCTCACCCACAGTCTCCCCTGGTTTCAGCTTTTCCTTACATTACCCTCAGTGCCGTTTGTTGGGGAGAAGTTTTGCAAAGACCAGGTAGCAGAAAGAAAGAGTTTATCAGATGATCACCAGAGGTAGAAAGGAATGAATGGGGATCTTCATGTCACTTATTATCATATGGTCTTACAACCATAGGCAGGCAGTTCATTGTTACATATAACATTTTAAAATGTCTTATATTTATAAATGCATCTGCCAGATTTATACTAACTGCTTGAGATTAAATGACATTTTTTGAAACAAATAATGTTAACCTGATACATCATCTAAATTACTTCCCAAAACAATACAGTATACTCTCTTGCCCCATTTGCCAAAGGCATTTTTAACACACTTCTAATTATAAACTTGCAAAAGCTGTGAAGATCAACTTGAAAGTCTTATTATCCTTTCATTTGAATAGCATTATCTTTTTTATAAGAGTAACATAAGTTTACCAGAACTCCCCAAAATGTTTTTATTTAGTATCTTATTGCAGTAAGAAAAGGTAAATATGACAAGTCTCACAAGTGCTTATAATTTGCACTAATATAACTAACTCACAAAATGGAAGAAAATAGTCTCATCTAGCTAACTAACAACTAATATTTATTTAAATAGATTGAATGTTAAAGGCCTAAAATCTAATGATGATATTTATCTCGCAGCAAATACAGGAGAAACAGAGGTGGGCTTTCTTCCAACATTTGGACCTTGTTATTTGAACCTTTATGGAAGCCCCAGAGAGTATACAGGATTCCCAGACCCCTATGATGAGTTGAATACTGGAAAGGTTAGTTTCTCCATTAAGGTTATTATTAATGAGTACTGGGCAATGTGATTCCTTCTTGTAATCGTTATAATTAAGCATCATATTTAGGCAGCATCCCCACCCTGTCCCACAGACCTCCCCATACGACTGATGAAGTGTTGTTTCACACTCCTCAAGTCTTAGAATGAAAGAATAGGATAGGATCCTAGAGATCATTGAATTTGGTGATGGTGAATGGCCATTCCCTCAACTTCTGTGCTTATGGCGGACATCAGTAACCAACGTTGTCTTGCTCTCCTAATAAGCCACTAGGCTGCTTTGGAATTTCTTTCAATGCCATGTTCCAGGAATTTACCAAACAATTGGTGGTGACATGCCTGTTGAAATCTTTGCTATCTCTGATCTGATCCAACCCCTTTATTTCATAAATGAGAACATGGAGGCCCAGAGGTGGGAAGTGCTCTTTCCACTACAGTAGAAGCCAAATGCTTTTTAGTTATCCCCCAAGGCTCGTGAAAGGGACTGAGCCAGAAGAAAAAGCCCTGGGAGGGGAAAGGTGGAAGAGGTGGGGCCCTCCCTTGCTCTGCAGAGGTTCTATTGCCAACACTGCTGGGTATGGTGGGAGGAGTATCCACTATTTATTCTCATGCTTAACTGCACCCAGAATGTCTTCCTCCTTTACTTCCTGGCTACTCTGGGACTTGCCCTGGTGACCAACATGGTAGCCTCCTTATTCTGAGAAGGGGAGAAAAGGAGCCAAGTTCACACAGATAAATGGGGAGCTGCTTTGCTGAAGTCAGGTGAGGGAGACTCAGTCCCATCCACCCTCACCTCCCAGCCTCTGAGAACCCTTCTGGATCCAGAGCATGGCTTGAAAGCCTCTGACCTTGGTCAGGCTAAGATTCCTTTCAGCCCTGGCATCACATGGAGCTCTCTGAGATCCTTCCTAAAGTCAATGGCTCTTCTTTTAGATACGAAAGACCTGAATACAGCTGGGAGAGTTGCTGACTGACTTATTTTGGAGGTTAGGGACATGGGTAGGAGGAATTTTTTGTAGCTCTGTTATTATCCTGACTAGACAGACAGAGTTCTTTTAGCTGCTGTTCATGCCTAGAGGAATAATTCTGTTATTGCCTTTCAGGGGGAAGGAGTTGCCTACAGAGGCAGGATCTTGGTTGAATTAAGCACTTTTCTTGAAAAGACACCACCAGATAAAAAGCTTGAGCCCATTTCAAATGATGATCTGCTGGTTGTTGAGGTAAATGTTGGGGTGTGAATAATGCATGGTATGGAAAGAGTGTTTTGGAGGATTGGAGGTAGGATGGTTGGTACTGACCCACCTGAGCAAGGGGGCTTGAGGGGACAACCAGGGACTAAAGGCCCAGCTGTGGTAGAGTTGGAGAGACTTGGCTCATAGCAAGTGCCCTTTGCCTCTTGAAATACCTACAACAGCCCTATGAGGGTGATGAGACTCAATGTGAATGCCCTGTTGAAAACTGGCAAGAGCGGTGATACCCCAAACTAAATGGCCTGTTTGCCAACTGGGGTTGGGAGGTCATGAGGAGGTGGCCACAAGAGCTACCATTCAATGGTATAGGTGTCACCACTTGTCACGGTCATGTCTATTTTCAGAAGTAGGTGGTATATCTCAGGCTTCCCAGCATGTGAGGGCGTGCTTACTTAAGGCCCATATTACAACAGCTTCCGAGCCCCCATTCCTCCTTGAAGATAGGAAGTCTTCCAAGTTTACCTCCTGAACTATTTCTGAAGATGTGAGGTCAATGCTCCTGTATTCCACAGATCTGGATTGTTTGCAAGAGCAGCCAGCTCACTGATAGTGTGCTTACTTAAGGCCCATATTACAACAGCTTCCGAGCCCCCATTCCTCCTTGAAGACAGGAAGTCTTCCAAGTTCACCTCCCCAACTATTTCTGAAGATCCGAGGTCAATGCTCCTGTATTCCACAGATCTGGATTGTTTGCAAGAGCAGCCAGCTCACTGATGCCCCTCTGCCCAGGGCCTTCTCCTTGCTGGGCTCCTAATCACCTCCTGCCCAACACCCTTCCTCACGCTGCTGCTGCCCTCCCAAGCATGGGACAGGCCCTTCTCTTGCTGTCCCATGTCACAGCAGAAACCAAACAGCAACTTTGAAAGAGCTTTCATTTTCAGTTCTGGGACAAGAACAGGGAAACCCAGTGAAGTGGGTAACTTGAAGTGGCTACTAAAAGTGGCTGCGTCAGAGCCTGCAGGCTGAGCCCAGTGTTAAGGGTCTCTCGCAGTGAGCCTTCCTACTTACAGCCTGCTTCCTTGTGGCGGGACTCAGCTCTCGATCCTCCCAAGCTCCCGAAGTGCCCTGAACACATGTGCATCTCAGAGTCCAGGCCCAACTGCCACAGGTTCTCCATGAAGCAAGGGCTTTTCCATCCTTCTGGCAGTCTACTGTCTGCCTGTTATAGGATGTGCTCCTTCTCAGTATGATTGGCAGGGAGCATATGCACTTCCTCTGGAGGAAACTCTCCCTTCTGCCCCAGAGCAATGTGGCCTTGCTCAGGGACTCCCAAGAAGACAATTGTATTAGGTTAGCATCTGTAGGAGCCAAGGGAAGACTTCCTCTTCAAGCTCCTGAAGGTTCTCTGAAAAATCAACTCACAAACACAGATTAATAGAAAAAGGGGCATAATATAGTTTTACGTGACACGGGAGCCTTCAGAGTGAAGACTCAAAGATATAGGGAAAACTGTCCATTTTTACGCTTAGGTTCTGTGAAGCCAGGAAGGGGGCCCTGTAGAAATGTGATCAGACAAGAAAAGTATGATCTAGTGATAATAGACTGAGTGGGAAACCCAGCAAGTCCTGTCTGTTTGGATTCTTCCCAGCCTCTCTGTGTGCATAGCATTCCTTCCTCCAGGGTATGGGTGCTTAGGTTCTGTGAAGCCAGGAAGGGCCCTGTAGAATGTGATCAGACAAGAAAAGTATGATCTAGTGATAATAGACTGAGTGGGAAACCCAGCAAGTCATGTCTGTTTGGATTCTTCCCAGCCTCTCTGTGTGCATAGCATTCCTTCCTCCAGGGTATGGGGCAGGACCCTTTCTGGAATGGGGGTCTTATGACCCACTATCAGGTAAGGTAGGTCAGAGAATGTCTTTATGGCTGGCTCCAAGACAGAAAGGCAGGGGGAAGATTAAAGTATAATTTTAATCTTTAAGGCTGGCTTTGGGGCAAGGGGTTCTGGTTTCTATGACCTGCTTTGGGGAAGAGGGATCCTAGTTTCTCTGGCTTGCTTCAGGGGAAAAGGAGGCTGAGATACAGGAGGGCAGGAGAATCTCAGAGGAAAACTTTGCTTTTGAAGCTGCTTCTGAGGACTTCGCTTTGGGGTATTGCTTTCTGAGTCCCAACACATCCAAAGCGGTGCATTTCTGGATTTTTCAGTCATTGCATGTTTGGAACATCAGTAGTCCAGTTCTTGAGCATCCCAATTTCAATCATTTGTCTCTTTCTTTAAGAGGAAAGGATCATGCTGCACATTTTCCCTGAGGTTGCCTCTGTCCCCACCCCTCAGCCTCAAGAAAGAACGTGACATCACCACAAGAGCAAGCCACAGGGCAGCAGCCTAACTTCTCACAGGGGAAAGAAACATTTCTCCCCCCACCAATTGGCAAAGATTATAACACAGCCCCAGCTAAAACATACACTTAAAAGTTTATGTCACCAAATAGAACAGTTCAGTTCAGGTTATTTAAATTGTGAGAGGAACAACGTAGGTATTTGCTTTATATTACAGTTAAGTGTCCATCCAAGAAATTTTCCTAAAATTTAACAATGGTCTGCCTTGAATGTGAATTCACATTCCTACCTCTAGAATCAGAAATTGATTACAGCTTTTAAACGACAGTTTTTCCAGTTTTTATACATTAATGTATCAAATTTAAAAATCTTAGGGCAGATTTTTTTTCTGAGCCAAACTTTTACAAAAGTGGATATAAAGGCCAGGCGACCTCAATAACTCATTGGGGGCTAACTCTTCAAGAAATGGTCAAGTCCTTCTCCATAACCCTACTCCTAATCTCTTCCCCACCCCACTGGTATATAGACACATAAATACAGTAATCACCCTTTATCTGTGGGGAATATTTTCCAAGACCCTGAGTAGATGCCTGAAACCTCAGATAGTACGTGTGTGTACTATGCACAGATTTCTTTTTCCTTCGTCACAATTTCACAGATAGGAGATTCATTCTCACCACAGATCTTAGCAACCTCAGCATGCTATTTTTCTTCTTTCCTTATTAAGTCAAGAACTCTTACTGGTTCACTTACAGAACGCACTTTCCGGCTTCTCTTTGGCCCGTCTGAATTGCCAGCATCACTCCTCTTGTGCTCTAGGGCCATGAAGAAGTAAAATAAGGGAGACTTGAACGTAAGCACAAAGGAATGCCTCCCATCCTGTGCAGGACAGAGCAGACAGCACAAAACTTCATCACGCTACTCAGAATGGTGTGCCATTCAAAACTTATGAATTGTGTATTTCTGGAATTTTCCATTTAATATTTTCAGACTGTGGTTGACCGTGGATAACTGAAACCTTGGAAAGCAAAACTGAATAAGAGATTACTGTAATACTGTTATGCCACTGATACCATAATACCGACTTGGTGGTATAATGCCATTCTTAGATTTAATATTAATGGTTTGCCTATTCTTGAGTTATTGCAAAGTTTCTTGATGTGTATAGTAAGGAATGATTTTGCTGAGGTGAGAATTCGAATCAGTCATGCTGAGAGGCAGGCATGTGGACACTAGTGAGTGCACCAGCCAACCACCGACGGTATACTTCAGTGAGAGGGAGATTTTGTGACTCACTGTTCCTGGCACTGGTGCAGCAACTTTCAATTAGTGTCTAAAAGACTCCCCAGATTTTTCAGTTACTTTGTTATAGTTCCTAGAGGAAATGATAGAATATTATGATGCTCTTGAATTTTGAGGTTTGCTATGATCTCAGGAACATATTCCTTGCAAATTGCTGTGGTCTGAATGTTTGTGTCTCCCCAAAATTCATATATTGAAGCCTAACTCCCAAGGTGATGGTATTAAGAGGTAGAACCCTTGGAAGGTGATTAGATCATGAGGGTCTATAAAAGAGACCCCAGAGAGCTGCTTTGTTCCTTCTGCCATGTGAGGAGGTGGCCGCGTTCTATGAACCAGAAAACTGCCCTCATCAGACACTGAATCTGCTGGCATCTGGATCTTAGACTTGCCAGTATCTGGAACTGTGAAAAATTAATATTTATTGTTTATAAGTCATCCAGTTTATGGTATTTTTGTCATAGCAGCCCAAATGGACAAAGACACAGATGATGAGTCTTCCATAATTTAACAGCAAAAAGGATTAAGGATAATTGAAAATCTAGAGTGCTGTATTTATCCTGACTTTTCAGTCATTAGTCCTGCTGAATAGGTCATAAATCAAGAGGAATCTCCATAAGCAGATTCCAGAGGTTTATGCTATGAGATCATGCAATATAAACCCACTTTTGTTTTGTTTTTTATTAGTCGCAGAAACACAGAACCAAAAGTAACAAATCCCTCCAGTCACTAAGGTCCTGGTCATAGTCCTTCTATCCACTGCATAGAACCATCAACTCTAAAGTCCAGGAACTGCAATAGGTATTGAGACGTAATTTACAAAAGAGGAAAAAGAGCAGGGCGGGTGAAAAAATAGAGCAGCTTACATGCTGTTTACTGCCAGGATCATGCAAGAGACTGGCTGGAAACCACCTGAAGGCCTCCATGGAAACACATGGTGATGGCCTGGTGGTCCTGGACTTGAGTAGTTACAGATTAGAGTTGGCTCTTGAATATATCAGGTTGGAACTCAGGCTAATGCAGAAAAGCCATCATGGACATTCAGCCCTTATGGTGCCTTTTATTTTGTTCTATCACCAGAACCCAATTTAAGTCCATGCTCTTTCCCCTTGTTTTAAACAACCGTAATTGGAGAGGCAAGGTTGGGGGGGCAGCAAAGTATAAAGAAAAAACCTTTTTTTAACTGGAATGCAAAGCCAGATTAGTTTTTTTATGCAGATAGTTAAGCACGTACAGAAGATAATTAAGCACATAAAGAAGTTTATTTCATTAATTTAGTAAAAAGCAGCAAAGTATAAAGAAAAAACCTTTTTTTAACTGGAATGCAAAGCCAGATTAGTTTTTTTATGCAGATAATTAAGCACGTACAGAAGATAATTAAGCACATA